ATAGCGTAGCCCCGTAAATCGATTTAGTTTTTGCTTTCGATGTCGTCTCCACAGAAATAGGAGTACCATCACTACTACAACCAAGACGAGTAATGGTAAAACAACTGCCAGCGTTTCGTTAGAATCTTTGGCGAGATTGATCGAGCGTTTGTCTGATGAAAGAAACGTTTGAACCCGTAGAGTTGCTGATGTCGAATTCGTTCCATTCAAAGTATAAACTGTGCAAACGACAAGGTAAAAACTACAGTTGAATGGCTTCTCGGGGACGGTTATATAAAATATAGAGGATGAGTTTACTTGATGGGACACACTGCCATGTACCTCTGGAAATACTTCCCATTTATATTCAATAATTGTGTCAGTGCGAAATCCCGACGCTAGACAACTGAATTTGATTTCAGAGCCAGCAGGCTTCACAACGTTATTCGGCTGTATACTGATAACTGGCCGAACGTCGGGCGTCAACTGACATGTTTTGGTCTTCACCAATGCCTCGCTTTCAAGAACACAACGGATGTTCATTCCTTTTCTTGGAGAAACAACCCCAGTTGTTATGGTTTTCAGGTCAATTTTGTCTACAACAATATCTGTTTCAGATTTTGGTGTACCTGATACAAACAACGTTAGATTCGGACTGGTGGAACCATGCGAACGGGAAGAGCACTGGAACTGAACACGATCATCACCTTGTAAACGCACAGTTGGAAGAACATTGCCATCTTCGTCAGCAATCGTACACGTGGGGGAATCACGAGAGGGTTCTTTGAGAACAGTGAGTTGTGCGATAGCAGGAGGATTGAATGACTGCGTGTCCCACTCTTGGCCATTGTAATAAACAAACACGCACTCGTAAGATCCTTTGTCAGAATACAGTATTCGTGAAATCTCCAAATCAAATTGGGTAGAATGTATATGTTCTATTGCAAAACGTCCTTGCTGCTCAGTAGATAGTTCCCAATTCCTTATATCGCCATCTTGACTTATGAACTTTGAAGTTTCATGGTTTAACCATCTAATATAAACATGGTCTTTATTATCACTAATAACGCATTTAAATACGGCATCCGATCCTATTTTCAACCGAGCATCTGATGGTCTCTCAAGAATCGAGATCGTGTTACATAAACATGATGTCAAACAATATAAAATACAAATTAAACCTTTGTATAAAGCCAGTGACATTATGATGGTCATCCGAAACATTCAGGTAACAAAATGGAGAAATCATGTACGCTAAGCGAATCGTTAATCATTTGGAGGATGAATGTACATCAGATAACGCCTATAACGTGTACATAATAATTACGAATAATAATTTGTACCCACACTTTCGCATCACCATGTATGGGCAGAAAAACGACGATATATAAAATTCAACATTGATACATTAACCCATGCATCACGTTTAAATATACTTCAGTATCAATCCGTAATGAAACTAGCTTTGTACGATTAGGTCGTCGTCGACGATAAAAGGAGGTTACGTCAGCAGTAATGAAAGAAATAGAAGGATGTTTTCGATGTTTAGTGTTCAGGAGAGAACCTCACCTTTTTCCGGCGTTGATACGGTCGGTCTAGAGGACACACTGTAATGAATAAAAAGGTAATACTGTAGTTCAATCTAGATCAACTTCCGACCCATTCGTTTACAGAATACTTCTTTACCTATATGCAATCGGCTTAAACTTTATTACAGGAGAAATAAATTGAGTCGTTGCTGAATGCTGCATAATAAATTATGAGTCAGAGACCTAATCATATGCACATTCTTGGGATCTTGTTGAGCTCAAGTTTCCTGTTAAATTTAACGATGATATTTTAGCTGGTAAAGAACTTGTATTTTATAGTTTTTTCAAGACAGTAGAATTTTAAACAAGTACACAATTTGTTATTGAGGTCTCAGTAAGGATATTTTTGTTGAATAGAGGTGCGATTGTACACTGTAAACAATTGTTTTGAATACAAAAGAGGGCCTAATTAACATAGTAATCTAAAGTACGGTAGTCACCCCCTCCCCACCCCCCTAAAAAAGAGAGAGGGAGAGAAAAAAACCCGATGTGATTCATAGTACCGATGCGGACAGGAACGTTACATTCTCAATTTACTAGTCCTACTGTGTGCTTACTGGATGGAGTATTTTTATCATTAAGCCTATTACACTTTAAAAAAATAAAAACACATTTTATAAGAGCAACTGAGTCTGAAATTACTTAAAAATTAAAAACTAAATAAGAACAAATTGAGGCTGAGGTAAAATGTCAAATGAGGTTTTTATTTATTTTTTAAAAATAGGAAAACCAAAAAATTATATCTCTACCTTATGTGCAATAGGTGTTATTATATAATACCTTCTATAATACAATACAGAGTACCTGTCATTTGGGGCAATTTTTACCGGGCCTTCTTTCTGGTGCATTTTTTTTCCGGGGCCTTTTTCAGGGGCCATTTTTATCTACACTCCAGTACAGTAGTATACTGCTGTATAATAATAATTTTCTATGTTTGAAAAGTATGTAAAGTAAGAACAAAACAAGAACATTCTGAGTCTGAAATCAGCCAAGAAATAAGAACAGTGAGCAAAATTTTACTGGTTCTTATAAAAAAAAAAGTTTAGTACACAAAGGCAAGAATATTATTATAGTGAACTTATCACTTTTAAGTGGTATTAACAAGACAAACATACACAAAATGGTCCAGTCTCTTAACAGAATTTGAATGCAGGATCATTGAATCAGAAGGCAAGCATGGTATCATGTTATTTGTATACATTGGTTTGTGTATATTGAATAAGGATAGTGGCGATGTTAGTAATCACTGTAATGTTTTAATAATGTTGGGTAAAACGAGTACAGGACTTCATGTTTGACTACCATGAAATGTTTTATTAAGAATAAGCAGCCTGGCCGAGAATAAGTAAGCGCATGCACATCCATATTCAGGGGCGGATATGGGTTCAAATTTAGGATGGGAGGGGGTAAGAATGTTTAAAAAAAAATAAAAGAAAAGAAAAAGAAAGGGAAGGCCAGAAAATTTTGATTCTTAGATGGCAGGAAATGAGCTTTTCCGACTTCTGATGTGTCTTTTAATGACTTTTAAGTTCTTAAAAATTTGAGATTTTATCCCCTCTTTTTCTCATTTAGGCCCATTAGGTTATCACTATGCAGAGCAACAGATATCTAGATGTGTTGAAAAACTCATATGACTCAATCTCCCGGATGTGGATTTTTCTAACTTGGGACCCCTGTTTACCACCAAGTCAAAGTTGCATTCATATTGGATCTGAACCAAAATTTGGCCGCGTTTCCCATGCGCTGAACGTCAGCATCCCTGATCCTACACACGCATTCGACTTTCTGATCTCTTTGGTAGGTCTTCCTCCTAAAATTGGGATTCGGTGTGAAGGAGACTTAAGGCTAAACTCATCGTATGCATTATGGTCATCTGCTGCTTTCGTTCTGTTGTTTAAAGATGTATTGTCCCTTGAAAATGACAAAAAAAATCATAAAAAATAATTTTGAAATTAACTAGCAGCAGCAACAGTAGCAGCAACAATAGCAGCAACATCAACAATAATAAAATGATGTATTAAAAATCACAAAAATGTTGACGACGCTTGAAGTAAGCAGTGTCTGTAACTGGTGGATAGTCTACTGAATTTTTTGTATGAATTACGACATGACAGATGCAGATGTGAACTACTAATAGCACTAGGTTAACGACTACTATAAAACAAATCTGGTACAGTATATTAATGACCTTGGTATTAGCAGACCTTAAGAAACAAGCATGCAATAAGATAATAATACTTTACCCTAATGTTAATAATGCTTATTCAAAGGTCAATGACTGCCGAGTACTGACCTCTACCTAGTCTTGTATGTTAAGGAGGAAATTCCTCATGAGAGGCCTTTAATAAAGTTTAAAAGGCCAAGTTCATGAGCAACACATTTCCAGAGTGTCAATCAAACAATAATAATAATAATTAGACTTACTATGTCTGTTGTCAAAACAGAAAAGAGAGTTTTTCCTCACTGACATAAGGCCAAAAAAAAAAAAAAAAAAAATTGTGTTGGCCTCATTTTGGGAAAGTCCAAAAAAAGGGTAGGTTGGTAGAATTTTTTTCTTCTTTTAGCATAATAAAAAAAACCAAAATCATATAAATTATGACATTAAAAAGTGATAAGAAAATCTCTTGGGGCTTCTGAGACTCGAATCAGCACTGGTTTTGGTGTGGGTGATTTGTAGAGTTCTAAAAAAAATGCCAATTGTGTTAACATTAATTATCCTGTTTATTAATATTCAAAATATGTAGAACGACATATTTCAATATGCACACATTTGATTTGATTACGATCTTTGCTTGGACAAGTTTGAAGACAAATCCAAGCATCAAAAGTGACCAACCAGACAAAAATACCCTGTGCAAAATGATAGGAGATGGAATGGAAGGGGGAAAAAAATCAAAAAAACAATCCATGAAAGAAAAAACAAAATAATAATTGATAACAACAATGTAATAACCTTAATAATGAAAATAATAATAATTATTATAGTAATAATAATAATAATAATAATAATAATTACTAACTTGCTTCATTATTTTCTACTACCTATGTTCCAACCTCTCCGCAATAATACTAGATACTCCATACACTGTATCACTCAGAAGGTGTCACCAACAACCCTACATGTAAACCCTATTCTGGCATTGTTGGGTAGTTTTAATCCAGAAACTAAATGAAATCATAATATAATGACTTTTATTGCACACTAAGTTTGAATGTATGTACTATAAAAGGGATGATACGAAGAGATAAACTTATTGAAAAAAAAACCAACTTATTGAATGTTAAAAATTAAGTATGACACATAACTGAAGGAACTAAAAGTCAAGAGATTCAATGTACGCTACAAGAAGGATGATAAGAAGAAATGACCTAATGTGCCCGATTACTAATTATACAAAACATACTGTAGTCACAAATGACAGTAAATCAATATACATTCATTATGACATTTTATTATAAAATTGTAAATGATTTGCAGACAAAAGCTTCCAGACTATATGAGAGATTGACATTTTTAAAAGGGCAAATAATAAATAATCCTCAAACTTTTTTTTTAAACTTTCATGAAGCAAAACACCTAGAAAATCTACTGAAATCGAAGCATATTTTGTAAGCAATATGTATGTATCCATGTAGGTCTAGGCCTAAATACTAGAGTGGTGATACTCTCATATTTTCAAAAACATCAACTCAAAGATTAGCTATTGCGGTCCAATCTTGACATCTCTGCAAAGCCTCAAATGGTCACTATGGGCTGGCCATGTCAAAACCAACATCAGTGACCAAGACAATTGTAATACTGTATATTCATATTCTCCACACTATAAACTGTATGACTTTACTATTTCCACAGTTATGAGTAAAAGTATTACAGCTTTTCTGTACTAAAATATACAGTACTGTCACATTCTTGTGCTAATTATTCAGTTTAACATTTTTGCGACAGTATGCTGGCTTTGGGACAGCAGGCAACATAAGAAAACTATTATTATTATTTTTCATGTAGCTACAGGGGTATATATCAACTACAGTATATACTTTTAAGGAGACTAGGGGAAATTTATTGATTTAATAAAGTGGTTCTGTCCAATGACATAAGACAGAGAAAAAACTAATTTTATTGAGAAAATTAAAAAACAAATGTGCTGTGAGGCAAAAAAAAACTAGATAATAGCGGTCATCCTTTTATTTAAAACCATCATCAACGGCAGGCAGTGGGATATATAAATATTATAATTTATCTGTTTGTGGACTGTTTGAAAAATTGTTTATATGACAAAAGCAGCATCAGTGACCAATACAAGAAAATAGATTAATTAATATATTCATATTCTCAACATTATAAGCTTTAAAATGACAGGTCTACTTAGCACCGAAGTGAGTAAAAGTATTACGGTTTCTCTGTAATGAAGTCGACAAATGATAATTACTCAGTTTAACATTTAGCAACCTAAACTGGTTTTGGGATGGCAAGCCTTATTTTATGTTCCTGCTGTAACCTACAACTTACACATTTTACAGATCCTATTAAAGTTATGTAGTTATTGCATCCAGCAAATGAAGCCATCATCAACTAAAGATCACATGACATTCCTGCTGTAGGAACCCACTCACTCCCAATCAGGAATCCTGCACCAAATGAAAAATTTAATTCTTGAATCAATCTTTTCCACGGTATAAATGCTTTTTCACAAATTGTTCCCATCCTAAATATATTACAGAACATATAATAATGATTTTCTCTGTCGGCTTCTCTGCCGTTTCGTGGCAAAACAATGTAATTTGAAATTTTCATTAAAAAAAAAAAAAATTAAAGTTAAAGTTTAAAGTTAGCAATAAATTGTCATACTTTTCTGAAATTTTGTATGGCTATATACAGTACTATAGACATTATGCAAAGTTGTTAACGATATTCACAGATACATTGTTTTACCTCGGAAACATGTCAGTGCGGTATTGTCCACGGAAAAAAGGTTTCAAGTTTTGTGCTTAGTGGTGCTATCTCTAAAAACCACTCATTGTTGAGACCTGAAATTTTCGCAGGTAATTCAGAAGTGTTTATCATATTTCCAAATATTATCTTAAAATCGACTAAAATATCAGTTACGTTGTTTTGCATCGGGATGGTCTTTCTGCAAAATTATTTACTCTGGATCTGCTTCATGCTTAGTAAATCTTTGGATGGATTCTACATCTGCAATAAGCATTAGGGAACTTTTGATTTGCATGATGACGAAACCAATTCACTCATCTGCACACCGTTGATTCGGGCCAGCATCCTAGAATCCAGGCGACAATAATATCTCAACGTTCTTGAATGCACAGATTACTTCTTAGTGACGTCACAATGTTTTAAGTTCTACCGTCGTCATGCAATTAAAAAGTTCCCCATCGCCACAGGCATCAATTCCAAGCACCTAAAACTAACCTTTGAGGCACAGGGTCACAGATTTGACCCAAATATTTGATTGGCTGTTGGCAGCTGCTTAGGACCAATAGTTGTCCAAACAAAGTTTTTATCATTTCTTGGTGGTATAACTGGATATGGAGAGTCTTTTTGTTTAAAATATTCAGATGGACAATGGCAGACAAATTCCATATATTCTAATGACCGTGGTATATCTTCGTCTGGACCTGTAAAAAAATATTACATTCAACAATTTTTATCTAACAAGCACTGACTGCAAAGTCAACAAAGAAAATAGTGATAGGATGGGAATCAAAATCAAACGTTCATTTACATTTTAATAAGAATCCTGGCCTGAAATCCATTACTGTTTGCATCATCAATACCAGCCTTGTATAGTTAGTTGCGTGGATAATTAAAAGTTCATACCTAGTATATATGTTGAAGGGTCAAATTGAGCCTTGTTTGAAGCCTGTGTTGGAAGCAACCAAGTAATTATAGCACTCTTCTGGCAGTACTGATCCTGCAGTAAACCTCGAATTTGTGCGTAATAGATGCCTTCATCAACATCCAGAATTGATACGATGTCGCCTACTTGTATATACACACCCTATTCAAAGAGATAAAAGTATAAAAAATATTCAAATATTCAAAGAGATAAAAGTGAAAATAAACATTGAAATTAATGCTATATATTAAACATCTTGTTGATATTCCCAAAAAGATGATTTCAACACTGAGTTGCCAAAACCTAAAACTGGCAGGCAATTAACAAAATAAAGTTCATAGTGATTTATAATTACTTTGGCCATCTCTGTACATTTTATTTAGGCTCTGGAATGCAGCTAGTGTACGGTAGGCTACATATGTATAGGCCTAGGCTGCACCCTCGAGCAGGCAGGGAGTTGTTATGCCTCGACTATATATCTCTGTAGTCGAGTACGGTAGGTAATATAGTAGAAAATAACCCTTAAAGGTACTGATTGCTCAACCAAACTTGTGAAACAGGCTGGTGATAATACCTGCCCTGTCATGAAAAAAACCACTCAACTGACAATTTTTTTCAGCATTTTGCACTTTTGGGGATATAACACTTCTTGTGATGTATTCAGATTTTTGAAATTATAACGGAAAATATGAAATTTTAAAAATAAAAAATTACTCAACTGCAAGTCTGTGTTACTTTTGTCAGCAAAGATGCACTCAACTGCAAATGTTATGAAAGACTTCACTTAACTGGCATTTAATACCTATTATGTAATAGTTTATCATGAGAAACCCACTCAACTGCATAGTGCTGTATACTGTTTATCATTGAGAAAGACGATTGTTTAATGTATATAACATTACTTTCAGAATGAAATCATTATAAACAATATCTTGATTGGTGCACAATATTGGTATTATTGGATTTAAAAAAACTGTAAAATAATACTCTTGCAACATATGGGGGTTTTTTTTTTCATGCTGCGATACTGTAGCATTTTCCATGAATAATGTTCTTGACTTATGCCCGTTGTGAAGGTTACTGTACTGTACTTTCCTTGAAAAACTTTCAGGCTTTATTCCCACTATCCATTGGAGCCTTACCAAACCAAACTGATAAGTGTTTGAAAATTTAATTTTGGAACACTTCTAAAGTGATTTACCCAATTATAACTTGCATTCCAACTAAAATTTGCAACATCTATGATGTGATTTACATCAACAACAAGGTGAAGCCATATTCAATGCACTGTCGTCTGGTGATCTCGATAGATGTAAACAAACTTTAATACCCACTATAAGTCACGTGACCCGAGCCGCTGATTCGGTCTATTAAATTCACTCACAACTCATCAGTTATCTCACAAATTCAGAAGACACTCGTTTTTACATGTGTTTAAGGCAATATAGGCCTATGCACTCAAATACTGTAGATTTTCCCCATAGGCTGGGCTCCAAGAGCAATAAAATTTGTTTGTTTAGGCCTATTGTATGGCGGATCATCTATGTTGCAAGGATGAACCCTTCGTGTGAAACTTCGCCTATCACAATCAGTAGTTTGCGTCAGTGGACCACCGTATTGGCATAATTTGGGCATGACCGAAGGTGTTTTGTTGCACTACCGCGATTTTCAAGTTATTCACTTCAAACTTTCGCACCATCCGCTTATGATGACACTTTCTAAATGCAAATATTGTTGGAAAGAAGAATCACCTGCTTTGGAATACGTACGCCAAATTAGAGGCAAGACAATTTTTTACATTTATACGAATTAGCCCAGACCAGGCAATGAATGTAAGATTGATTAAACACTGGAGGCTTAAGCTGGGCCTATTATGATGTAGTAGGACGCTTTATGGTCAAAATGGCAATAAACTAAACAGACGATTCTTCCAATAAGATTTTACTGTTCAGCGTAAACATTTCATATCCTCATATGCATTTCTAAAGACTATAATTTATTCTTGATTATAGGTAGGCCTAATGTCCGAATTTCTGTAAAACTGTAGGGAACTAGGCCTACGTTATTATACAACCACTGATAATCGTGACAGGCCTACACACCCACAGAGCAGCAGATCGTTCATGCTCAGAGACTTGAAAAGCGCATTTCAATAGAACAACTATATTAAATAGTATTTTGTATTTTCAGACTGACAGTAAATGTAAATGTATTAAACTTCAGAATCTGCCATCAATCACTTGTTTTATTCTTGCATTCAATTCAAATACAAAAGCTGAATCTCGAGGCCGTAAAAAGGCTATGCTCGAGAGTGATGCACAGAACAACTGATAACCGAGGCTGACACAGACTTGAAAACAGCGCATGCGCAAAATACGTTCTATATGTTTGATTATGAATAATTCATGAGATTTTACCAAACTATCCTATGTTACGCAAATTCGCATGCAGCACAGCAGCACTATAAAACAATAAAAAACAATGCAGGTTTTATGTACCCCTATTTCCCTTTTTTTTTGTTTTGGCAATTTTTTCTCAAAGACTAGGCTACAACATAAAAGAAAGCCGGACAGCAGCCATACTGTAGATAAACGCTGGTACAGTAACTTAAGCAAAATGCCTTTGGATGTCCCCCAGTGGTAGTTGCCAGGTTCTCAGAAATTTTCATTTCAGCAGATTTGGTGAAAATGGTGTATACAGTATGTGGTAATCAATCACATCAACCTTAAATCAATCAATCAATCAATCATTGACACACTTTACCTGATAAAAAATGCCATTTGAAGTAACTACAGTAGATACCGATGCAGGAGACTTCAATGGCTGTAAAGAAAAAGAACAAAAATGGTTAATGATATTCTGCCATTAGTAAACATGTAGAGTGTAAATAATACATGGTGACCTGCCACACTGTCGAGCGGATAATATCTCAAAAACCAGCTCAAATATGTTTGGAAAATCACTAGGAAAATAGGTGCGCGGAATCGTATTACTGCATAAGGGCACATAGAAAAAAATATTAGATTATCACTCTTTAAAAAAAAAAAATTAATGAGGGAGGGCGGTTTTTTTGTTTAGAGGGAGGGACTGTTTATATTTGGCTAGTAATAGTAAATATTGTATAAAAACTGGTTTAATTTTATAGTGTTTTTAAAGAAAATGTATTTTCTTTAAAAATACTATAAAATTAAACCAGTTTTATAGTGTTTTTAAAGAAAATGTATTTGAAGTCACAAAACTGCATTGTTATTTTTATGCTGTTGAAATAATTGATGCGGCAAAAAAATTGTTTTTTTCATTCCCGCATCAATATTTCCTGAATTTTTGACGCGGACGGGACGGGAGTGATAATCTAATAAATTTTTCTATTTGCCCTAAAACCTAAAACACTGTTTATATATTAGGAATAAGTTAAAGCCTAATTTTTGGCAAAATTTGCGCAGACCTTATTTTCTGAAATTCACGGACAGATTTCTAGGGCAAATTTTAACATGGAAGATATACCCCAGGGGCAGAATATAAAGTCTGGGTGAGCCTATCCTAGTCCTGTGTTTGCCCTTCATTCAATTCAACTGTCAAGTCAATACAATGAAAACTAACGTTTCTCTTAAATATTATTCGTCGACTTTTTCCTTTTGTAGCTGTGTGAAATGACTGTTTATGACGTAATTTTCGATTGCCTTTAGACTTCCTCCCGTTCTGAGATTTTCCACCGTTGTTATTTTGTTTGTTGTTTGATGTTCGAGACTTCTCGACATTGTTGGATTCTGCCTGCTGTTGTTGAGATAGAAAACAAGAATTGCACAGTATTTGGCGAATACCATTTCTTCTCCACATTGTAGAGTTCATTGTTTTGCAGACAATACAACTGGGCTTCGTTCCAAAAGGCATCTTTGCAAAGCAGCATAAAATCAATTACCAGAAATGTGTAGTTTGTCAATAAAACATAAAAATTACGAGAAAAATTGTTTGTACCAAACAACGGAATATGCGCCAATTTTACGCCCTCTACGGTAAGTTATTTTCGTGTGTTTGTTTGTGTAAGTATTTGTTTTCTCAAAGGGTCATTTGGTGTTTTCACATGAACCTTTGTCATTGTAGGTTTTTGCCAGAAATGTATAAAAGAATACTCTATCATAAAACAAATTCTGATATATTAAATTGTACAAATATATTTAAATTTGTGTATTAAACTATATTTGATTCACTTTAAATGTTGATAAATTTAAATAAATTTGCACCTTAAATAATTTTTGTTTAGTATTGCGTGCACAATTTGTTTTAAATTTCCTGGCAAATAAATGTATGTGGCAATAACTAATAAAAAGACAGTGAGTTCACAGACAACAGGTTTTTGGTTTTTCTTCTTCCGAAATACTACTCACAAGTGAATTATTCAACAGAAAATGGGTTGTGGAGACTTCCACTGTAGCAGGAATGCACTTATTGCACTTAACACGTTGTATATTGTAAGTAGACCATCAAAATCAATTGTTAAATATAGCCCTATGCCCTACTGCTACACTACTACTACTACTACTACTACTAGGCCTAGGCCTACATCATTTTGAGTTAGGCCTAGGAGAGGACACCCCCTCTGCTCTCTGCTGCAGTGGTGTCTCTTGAGTCAGGAGCTGCAGCAGCAGAATAGTGAGTCACTCCAGTCAGACACATCATCTAGCCAAAAAGGCCTAGGTTAGGACTTACTAGCCTATTGTATTTATTGTTGACGCTAGCAGCAGTCGATGGTGAACATTTGAGAATGTATAGGCCTACGTACAGTAACTACTGTACTACTACAGTCAACTCTCCCAATACCGACCACCGTTCGGACTATCCACTTTGACCGGTTTTCCGGACGGACCGGTTTAGAGAACGTCATGGTTACCTACATTCATTGGTTCCCCGACCTTGAGTTGATAAATAACCCTAGGCCTAGCAAGGTACAGCAGATATGTACACCACACTGCATCATGTGCTGTGTAGGCCTACTGACCTGAGAACGTCATTTAAAATTCATGTTTTACTTTATTTTTACATTATTTATGTTGTACGTACCTTTTTTTTTTGTGTTGAAGTCTATTATCAATAAAAATTTACACAAATCAACTTAATGTGTATCGTAATTTATAATAAGTGTCAGTGCTATTTTTCGTTCGATCGCCATAATCTGCTTCGCTTCAACGTGGTTGCATGCTTGATTGGTTTTCGATGCCGCTGGCATAACCTTGGTGGGTCACTGAATGCTAAAAATGAGTGCTAACTTATGCAGCGCCCCCTAAACTGCGTCAGCCAAAAGAAAACAGTCAGAGGTGACAAAGTGTCATGCGCAATTGTTTTTATGAAATTGATAGCATTATGTTGGGACCGCTTGGTGTGCTTAGCGTGAGAATGAATGCAAAATGTGAGAAAAGGATACGTTCCTTAATAAAGAAAACACACTCATGAACTTTTTTTTATCAGTTTATTAAACAAATGAAATCTAGGCTTATTGCAATTAATTAATTAATGCGCTATCGGCGTGTCACACGATCAACACTAACGATCGTACACGTGGTGTTGTTCTGTGATTGATAGTTGTTATTTGGAGTCAGTCGATGTATCTCCGATGATTTATTTAACATATTTCGTCAATAAATCATAGTTTTCAACTGGCCGTCCGGTTTTCAGAAGGTAATTTTATTGTTCTGGACTTGGTCGGAATTGGGAGATCCGGTTTTCAGAAAGTATTTTAATACAGTAAGAACAGGAATGATCTTGGGACTTTAAAAAATGACCGGTTTTGCGTGAAATCGGGTTTTCTGGGTGGTCGGTATTGGGAGAGTTGACTGTACTCTACTCATATATGTATGTAGGTGTGTAACAAAAAAAATCAATCAAGTGCAAGTTGCATGTCATCGTTGATACCAAGATCATTTTCCTCCATCAAATATCAACAAAGTTACAGAATTTAAAAAATTAATAATTATGCCAAATTTCGTCCTTCAAAATCCATGTAAACGATAGAAAAGTAGGCTATGTGACCTTTTTCTTGAAAAATTATCAAAAACGGCTTTAACATTAGACTTTGTTTTAGACATACAGCATTTCAATATAATAAAATAAAAGTATTTGAAAGCATACAACAAGGACAAAAAAGAATTGTGAAACTCATTATAATTCAATGATTTATTAATTATGTAATAATTTACTTAATTAATTACAAGTAGCTAATTACCATTAGACATAGGCCTACCTCAATACAGCATAGACATTATAGTCAAAAAGACTCAAATACAAGATATTTGTGCTGAAGTTAACATAATACCAAAACTAGATATGAATAAATATATCAATTAACACAATGAAATTGGTTTTAGAGCTCGATATAAACTTGGATTCAATTTACAAAACAAAACATAAAATTGTGACTGTGTATGTGTGTCATGATATATGATTGCAACAAGACCAGTCATGTAAGCCATCAGTGTGCACTGCACAAACAGATATATTTGGCAAAATTTCCATTCACAACACCATAAAAAGCTTCACCATAAAGAGCTTCCTTTGCAACATATATACTGTAGGAGACTTTAATAGGAATCTAGCCAATTGGTATTGAATACAGTATTTTTAATTTTTCCATGGAAGACTTATTTTTACAGAACCCTACTTTACTTGCATAATAAGCTGTATAGCCTGGCTAGTAAGGCCTGCACAGGGAATATATCCTGCGGTCAAAAAATTAGCCTAGTAGTTCGTCCACGCATTTTGGAAAATAAGGGCTGATTTCCGCGCAGATTTTGCTGAAAATTAGGCTTTGACCTAAATCTTACAAGGCCTGATATAAACAATGTATTATGTTTATACCTATTTTCTTAACGATTTTCCGCTCAAATTTGAGCTGGTTTTTGAGGTATCATCCGCGCAATTAAAAACCTATTTTCTGCAAAAATGCTGCAAGGAACTCGGCCCTTATCTCAAAAATGTGCGGGTGAATTTGTACAGTAGTCCATTTTGTTGCACAGAGGATATAATGTATGAGGCATTTCGTAGCAAAATGGTTAATCTTCCGCACACCTATAATTTTCCTAGCGATTTTCATGGCAAGTTTGAGCTGATTTTCGAGATATTCTCCGCGCAATTACAGTATGGTAGCTGACTGAGTACATGGTCCACAATATATTTTATAAAAATTAAATACAACATTTACCGTAAATAGGGAGACCATGAAACAATGTACCGTAAATGCTAGAATAAGCTCCGCACCAAACCTGTTTTTTTTTTTTTTTTGATAAGCGCCGTGGCACTTAATCAAGAGTGTATATTACCCTGTATTTAATGAAACACTTTGAGAAACAGGGTTTTAAATACAATGTATACAGTGTTAAAATGAAAAACAACACAATGAAAACACAAGCATTTCTTTATTTTAAACGTTTATTTACGATGATGTAGGACCTATAATAGGCCGACTAAACTGGGAAATAAGAAATAAATGTAGGCACATAATTAGGGCAATGAACCATATTATATTTATTTATTTATATTTATTTATATTATATGTTTGCATTAGAATAGTACTGTACTGTACCTTCCATTTTGTATTCAACTTATAAGAGAGAAATGAAAGTCAGTTAAGCTCAAGACTTTTTGTTTTGTATTCATACTGTATAAATTATAAATCCATGGTTTTCATGTTCATTTGTGTCCAGTGGCACTTCCTGTTTTTTTCTGAATATGAATGGTTTTTGCCCTGTCTTCACCTGACCTGCTTATTTTACTTTTGTAAAGGAATTTTTTCAGTAATAGGACAGAATAATAAGAGGCTATTATTCTGTTAGTAATAAATTTATTTTTTAATAGTTTTTTAAATTTATTTTTTAATAGTTTTTTTTGAATACTGAAATAATTGATTAATATTGTCCAACATAAAAGAAGGAAAGAATTTGAAAACTGGCAAACATTTAATAGCACAAAGAACTGTACAGAATATTAAAAACTATAATTATAAACAATGAAAAATTTAAATATATTTGCTGCCACTGGAATATACTGTAGCATAGTTCCGCTAACCATATGATTCACTAAGAATAGATTCTCTTATATTTTATTTATTTTTGATATCTGGCACCATAATAATGAGTGTAGTCATGAATAATCTATCTATGTTCAAGGAATGGTTTCTGAAACAGTAAAAAGCATTTTCAATCAGTAAAAAATGCTTAATTCCATACTGTATTTCACAATGTTTTTCTTGCTCAATCCTTCAACCTCCCAGGGCTCACTATCAAAATAGCACTTATAGTTAATAACCTCTTTAGATAAACTTACTGTATTATCACTAAAGCTCAATTTTATGACATGCAGTTTTAACTCTTCCAAAAAAAAAAAAAAAAAAAAAAAAAAAAAAGAAATTAAAAAATGTATTTTCCAAGCCCAATCAATCCTAAATCTTGGAATTCTAAGGGTTAATTTTTGTTTTATGTTAAAATATTACATATTTTATAACTTTTTCCTTTAAGGAGGGAGCCCAAAATATTTGAAAATGTTTCAAAGGACCACCTTTTAAAACTCCAACAATGATTAAATTTCATCCCCTTAGATATGAAAGAGTAAAACTAACTTAAAAAAGAAATAAATACATACACACCTGAGATTAAATTTTTCAACTCTTTATTGCGTCATCAGGAGGAATCAATCCTGGGTTTAACAGTAAAAAATACATATAATTATTATTAATTGTCAACCGACCAACAATGATTTCCAAATCTCACAGTGGTTAGGTTTAAGGTAACTCTGTAAACACAACTTTATTTTTGTCCATCATACAAAAATTAGCTCTCAGCAGAAGCGTGTGTCTGCTGCCTTATATTGACTAAACAATCGGGAGAACAATCTGATAAAAAAGTAAAATAAAACCTGTCCCAAGCTAGACAAATTTTTGCTTATGACGGAATATGATCCCATCATGCACCTCATCAGATTTACTCTCACATGTAAATTTCTAGACGATAGCTACAGTAAGGTTGTGTATATACAACACACTAAACATGAACACAGTGTTAATGTCCTTGAACGTATTTTCATTACCCAAGACGAGTCTCCAAACTTTGCCGTGCTGTTAAGGCGTGTAATGGCGAGTGTGGTATAAGCGGGCCCTTAGTACCTACTGACCCCCGCAGGGGCAGTAGACAAAAAAATGTGGATTCAAAGCTAGCTTGTAGGTGTGAATTGGCTTTATCACCTGTTTATCCCTCTTTGTTTGAAAGCTGTCTGGGTATTGATTATTGAAAGATTATCAACTGATGATAGTATATACCCAACAGTGTGTTAATATTCCATCATGCAGGGTATCAAAAAAAGAAATAACCAAAAACATGCATTTACCTTTGCTTTTTTATTTCTTTTGGAATGAATTCCACTAAATCTCCTTCTTTCAATATTTATTCTGCACCAACCACAAATACTTTTACATAATTAAATTTGTTTGCTTTTCTGCAGTCACAAACCCTTCGAGTGCACTGAGGCATTAAGTTGAGATCTCTGATTTCATCAAGCTTTTCTCCATGTGAAATAAAGTTAGCGCTTGTCTTTGCTAAATAATGGTCCTATAAAGTGGGATTTTTATTTTAGGCCTATGGCACATAATCCAGAGGTCTCTACTGTACGAGAGAAATAATGTTATCTTTTAACTAGGCCACAAGTCCTCAAGGCCAAAATTTGTTAGCACTACAGCACTCTACTAAAATATCTTAAATAAATGACATTATTCTAACATGCTGATTTTTCTATCCTTTGATAAGCTAAAATCTACTGTTGGTGCTTTAATTAATTGGTATCATTTATTACACGGCACCCCCTGACTCACACTCAGTATTTGCATGGCGATTCATATTAAACAAACAAACTAACTCAAATAGTGCAGAAGAACACATAATTGTAACTAATTAGTTTTATGTTGAGAGATTGGCCAAATTGTACAGGCAGATTTGTAAGTCAAAATGTTTGCGTGGAAGTATTTTAAGGTCAGACCCCTGACCTACAGTATATGATGATAAACTCCATCAATGAGAGAGCTATTTCAAATTATTATACACACGCATGCTTTTCTAAAATGTTAATTATAATGTATTGATTTGTTTTTGTTTTTTTACAGCTTGTATCCATTATTTTAATAAGTGTGGCAGCAACTGCCCAGTATGCAGCAGTCGTTACTAGCACATCAGTGATTGGTGGAATTATAGCATGTGGTGTGTTTCTACTCATTGTTGCTCTTATTGGTCTTGTTGGAGCCATAAAGCATCACCAAGTTTTACTTTTCTTTGTATCCTTTTTGTTTGATACAATTTTTTTTTTGTGTAAATTAAAATTTTTTGTGTGATCTTATCATACTTCTTCCATTTTTTAAAATTACATACTGTACTAATATTTAATAAAGATTTTCTTCATGGTTTTAAATATTTTGTTAGGTTTAATATACAGTTCTAATTTGTCAATTATAAAATAGTAAATTGTAAATCAATGAAAGCTGGTTACTGTATTAATGTTTAAATACAATAAATATTGTATATATACAATAACAAGTCTGCAAAGGTGGTCATACATTTAAGAAGCCAAGAATTTCTAGGCCCTAAGTTTGATGGTTGACTCAGGGGACAGTAACCAAGCCGAAGGCATTTTTCAGGTGGCTTAATGAGAATTTTGTTGAATTCATGCTAAATTCATCATGCTAGCTTAAAGATTATTATAAATAATATTTCAACAAAACGGCAAAAAAAAAACAAAACAAAACAAAAAAAACCCCTTGTGTTTAACAAATCCAATTGATCCAAAAAGTACACAAAATCTTATTTATGAAGATTGCAGAATACTTTTTAAATAATAAATGTAAACCTCAACCATTTAAACTGTTACCATACCCACCAAAATGTGCGAGTTTTTGTTTCATAGCCTTCTAAATTCTGTGATCATCATGTTCACAACGGTTGGCAATTGTAAAATCGCGAAATATTCTAAATTGTAAAATAGCGAAAATAAAAGGTTTTACAGTACTCAGCTTTTAACCATAAATGAAATGTTAAAAATGTATTCATAGAATAATATGGTTAGAGCATTTTAATCTACTTTTCTTAATATCTGCTGTTATTGTGGCCAAATATTCAAATTTTCAGATCTTTTGATTGATAACATTTTCAGTGTCCAAATTTTGTTAACAGCACCATTTACTATGATGCTTGCTTTGCATTGTAGATTGCATTCAAAGTTGATTGTTAGTAAAATTATGCCATCAAGAGTTTATGTAAATTTCGTTTGAATTCAAATCTTGATTATTGCTACTATGATGGATGAATGGATAGATTGTAGATTTAAATAAATCAGTGGCAAAACATTAATCTGAAAAATAAAACACATATTCATTTTAAAGCCTGGCTCCAGAGAAAAACAAAATTTTATAAATTGTAAAACCTGATTTTTCTAAGACACAAAAACCATATTTGATGAAAAATTGGGAGTGGTTAATGGGATACAGATTTTTGAATGTTTACTAACTAGGGGGAAAAGGTGGAAAAAAGGCTGGTTAATACACCCCATTCTCTCCCAGTTTTTAAATATTCAAAAATTTGTATCTTGTTAACCGCTCCAAAGTTATTCGTAAAATATGATTTTTGTGTCTTAGAAAAATCAGTTAGTACAACATTTGCCTCTGGAGCCAGGCCTGCTTTAAAAGAGAGTGTATAACCTCAGGCAGTTTTAAAGCATTAGATAAAGGCAGATTATAGGTTTTGAAATTAGTTTGTTTTGAATTTGTTTTTAAAACTAAATGCCTCTAAATATTGATTAATTGAGCTAGTACCTAGATAGCTACATTACTTTTTTTTATTTTTTAATAGGCCTGCTAAGAATTCCCAGTTGTAATAGGCCGGCTAAGAATTCCCAATTGGAAATCCCTTCTGGGAGATCTTGTTAAATGAGCTTTTTTATTTTGCTCTGCATGGTGATACCCATCGGCACTGACTTCCGCGAGATACGAGATAATAAAGAAGTGAAAATATGCAAATAAATTTGTGAGCGGTGAGTTAATTACCGGGAGATGCTTGCTTGCTTGCGGCAGGCCGTCCCAATTTGGGGAAGACTCCCTCCTACGACTTCTGGGAGAGTTGAGGGTGTCCCTTCCAGATTATGAAGATGAGTTGATGATATGGAAATATTCAACGCGCAGGATTTGAACCTATGAACCTGTGACTGTAAGGAAGACAACCATCTTGTAAAAAGCTACATTAAGATGGTCTTTTATACGTTTCACTATTTACAAATTTATACTTAATTTAGATGACCGTGTGTGTGAATATATTGACAATTTATTATTTTAGGTTATTAAGGTACCTTCAGGAGATCGGTATTGTTTCAGGTTTTATCTGTCATCAAGATTACATATCCCTGGGATAAAAAACCATATCATAGGGAAAAGAGAAGGAACTGAGGTTTAGTTAGGTTAGTGCAAATAGAAAATGCATTAAAACAACATTGAATCTCAAGTTTGGTTGTTGGATGTGGAGATGGTTGGTGTAATGGTTGTCTCTGACTTTCGGTCGGGGGTTTAAAACCCTGGCTGTGCAAGTTGCTTGTGGCCTTGGACAAGGCACTTTATGTACGTTTATCTCTCTCCATCCAAGAGTATAAGTGGGTACCTTGTAGGATCTAATCCTAAAGTGTTGGTTCGGCTTATGGAATTGTAGTCTTCATTTCTCCCAGGTAGGATATGTTCTATACCCCCAGTGAGTGGGGGTAATAGTGTAAAGCACATAAAGGCAGTTTATTGCAATATGCACTATATAAATGGTGCATTATTTTTATTATTAAGTGTAATCGGCTTATTCATATGTTTATCTTTACAGTAAGCTATGATGCAGTATTTTAAAATCATTACATTTTAAAACCTATTTATTTATTTCCGATAGACTAGGTTGTAGGTAGGCATAGATGCCAAAGACCTGACTGGCCTTGTGCCTTAAATTGCGAAGGAACGGTGTGCGGTGGTGTTTGAATCCTCCTCGTTGTTTAATTAATTTTCTTTTTGGGTTTGTCTTTGGTTAGTGTTCTTGTTTCAGAGTCTAGATAATTTTTCAACAGTGTAACACTTAAGTGCTCTGATCTTAATGAAATAGATATAAATGTCGCATTATTATTATTATTATTCTCCAGTGAGTTTCTTTTTCCTGAATGTTCCTTAGTACATGGTCATCCTGGTACTACTATTCCTCATTCAGCTTTTTGTTTCCATCGGCTGTCTTGTCTACGGTGAAAGCAAAAGAGAGGAGGTCATAAAGTACGGCTGGGAACATGAAGCGTCGTCAAAAACGAAGGCCCAAGTGCAAAAGGAATTTGAATGTTGCTCATTAAATGGTACATACAAAGCAGGTGACCCACCATGTGTAAATGTAAGCAACGAGTCTTTTTTTTCATTGTAATTATTTCATTCTAATCCAGCCACAAGCCACTTTCCTCACTTTGTATGTATCCCTCACGTACATAATTTCTTGAGTCAAGTAATTCACCGGTAAGGCAGGGGCACCACAACCTATGATTTAACATCGGCCAGTGGTGGCCCAGAACAGCGTCGTAGCTGGGTGCGAAAGAGTAATTGCCGGGCCCTTTTATGTGTTAGTGGAATTTCCTAAATTTCTCAGAAAATTCATTGTAAGAAGTGCTTCTTTTTTATACCCCTTACTCCTAAAAGCCTAGGCTATAGTAATAAATACTTATGATAATTGGATCTTTAACTATTTTAAGAGGGACATGTTCAGTATCAGCAGCTGTTAAATTAATCAAGAAAATTGGTGGCACATAAAATTTAACAATTGCAGTGGTGGGTCAGGGAATTCAAAATATAGGGGCCAGGGAGGGATTTTCACAGGTTGAGAGTGAAGACCACCTTAGCCCCACAATGTTTGGTGCTGAGGTAAGAAAATTTATGATTTTAGGACCTCTAATTACTCCTCTAAAAACAGAATATTATTGAGGGGCCCGCTGGCCATTTTGTTGTTCAAAAATATTCAATTAAAAATTACTTTAAATTATTATATTTAGGTCTATTTATTAATGGGCCTCTAATGGCCCTAGGCCCCAGAGATTTGCACTGGCTGCACTGCCCGTAGCTATGACACTAACCCATAAATTTTGCCTACAGGGTGTCTGACATGTCGGACAGGGAGACCGAACCAAGGGCCAGCTAATTACCTTGGTCAGATTCCTGGAATTTAAATTTTCTGGTAGGGTTCACAGGGCGGGTTTTTATGGCTTAGGCCCAAATTGTGTTTTCAGACCATAATATTAGGGATACGCAAAGGCCATCCCGCTAACGCCACTACTGACATTGGCATTGGTTTGAGGTTTTACACACTCATTGTTTGGTTGGTTGAACCATGTCTTTTTGAACAATAATCCAGAGGCCCAGTGTACACATCCAGCTAGTTGGGATATTAGGAGGTTACACTCAGCTCTGTTTCATTTCAGCCCCTGAAGTTGTAGAAGGATGTGACTACTGAGACCTCTCTGTTGGAAAGTTAGTAGTGTTCGTAAAATAAACCACTTCTTAAAAATAATTAATTTTTGAAATTTTATGTTTTCTACCTTCCAGCTTAAATGCTGTAGTATGATTAGTAATGCAACAAATCAAATGTGCCTTGATGATAACAACTGCCCATCGTGTTTAGAAGAACTAGATGACTTGATGCACAAAGCCCTTCGCACCGTTGGTGGCGTAGGACTCTTCTTCAGCTTCACGGAGGTAAGTCCCAAAGGCTAACCTACGATTAAAATTAGATGATTATTTTTAGGCATTGTACATGGGTTTTGGGGAAACTAACATAACTATTGCTTGGAATTTGAGATTTAATTAAAATATTTATCTTGTTTATAATTTTCAATGAATATTCTAAATCATACTAAAATTACTGATCTTAACTTAAATGTGGGCTAATAAAGCTGGAAACTTTCTTATTTGGGTAATAATCATTTATTTATATTTATTTAGAAAAGAAACAATAATTTGCATAGGAAACTGTAATTAGTTATTAATGAGATGATACACAAACATTATCTTTCTTGGCCATACTTACACTTTAACTAAAGCTGACATTTTTTTAGACCAGTGGTTTACCATACTACAAAGTCTAAAAAAATTGAGAAAATGCAACAATTTAAAAACTATGGTACAATCTAAACTATACACAAAATATGTGTTTTTTTATAAATGTGTTTTTATTCACAATAAAATGAAACATGTAGCACAGGAAACTACAATTTAATATTCTGAACTAATTATTAACTATTATAAAAGAAAACCAATTGATATATTACTGAAGTTCACATGACCTATCTGGCTGTTGCGTTGATCTTAAGATTTAAATATACAAAGTTTTTATTGTCCAAGAGAATAAAATCTATACTGTAAGTGAGTGGAATACTGTATAAATACAAAATTTTGGAATTGACATTTTTTTAAGTACATTATATAGATGCATATGAATAATATATAAGCATTATGAATAATTAGCAAAATATTATTAATATTAATACAGTATGTTTTATTGATGTGTTTTTATTATAGTAATTTAATGTTAAATTACTCTTAGATCATTCAGTTTGGCACTTGTAATGGTTGGTTTACTACACTACAGTAACAAATGTAGATTTTATAAAATGTTGATAACCTTTAACATGCTGGTAAATCTTGGCATTTCTACCATATTTATTGATATTAAATCTAAAATCTCAATTGTGAAGGAAACTAAACATTATTTTTTTTCAAATTTGCACCATCATGATAATTATTTTGTTTAACCATTTATTTCTTTTCTTACATTCTTTTCTTTACTTAATTTCACTCTCTCATAATCCTTCCAATTCCATTATCCATATCTTTTTAGTTGGTCGGAGTCTGGCTAGCTATTCGATATCGTAACCAGAAGGATCCGCGGGCTAACCCCAGTGCGTTTCTCTAAGCTACGCACGTTCACGCATCAGCTCTGTTTAATTTTCAAATCGGTTGGTGCTTTGCTTTCTATTTAGAATATTCTGCATTTTTTGTTATGTTTTCTGGTGTTTTGCTTATTTATTCAATCAATCCATATTTTGGTCATTATTAATCATTAACACAAACTACAATTAATTAACCCCTGCACTACTAAAAGAAAAATAACCCTGATCTGTTCATTTCCCTAGAATAATTTTCAATTTCCTACAATTATCAGTACTCATGTTTTATGTTTTAATTTTAATTATGTGATATTACATATAACTATAAATTTCAACCTATGTTTTTGTTATGATTTCTTTTTTTTTTTTTTTTTTTTTTGGTGTTTTTTAATATTTTTTGTTTTTTCTGGTGTGCTTTAACATTTATTGCTTCACTTGTCTAACTTTAGTTGATAGAGGCTGATCTTTTTTATATATTAAAGGGCACTCAATCTTATTTCTAATATAGTTGATAGTTGGTGCTCTTTGTTTTGCTAATGAAATTTCTAACCAATTAAATTAGTGGTGCTAATAAATATCACCGCCAATTATTTATATTCTGCACGGTTACAATATAACTTGTATTTGAAAAAGTAACCCTAAAATAATACAATATTTAGTGAAGGCAGATTTTTTGCAATCTTTTGAAATTAAACAATTTCTTCAGCTATTATATTACTGTATAGTATCCAGATACATGAATTAGATACAAGAAAGAAACAAATACTGAACAGCAATCTGTAGCTCTATTGTTAAGGTTACAGAAATTATTATCCAACCCATACAACATACATACACAACTAGAAATAAATGTTCTAATAACAAAGGGTTGTTTTTTTACTTTATTTAAATTTTAGTTTATGTTTCTATACTATTGTCATTGGTTTGACTTGGGCCATTAGGCCATGGCCAATACATTTCATGGTTGCGATGGTGATGGATTTTTAATAAGATGACGCACAAGGGCTATTGATTCCATAATATACCAACGGTGGTTTTTAAATTTGTTTATTGATTTGACAAATATTCAATAGTGGAATGTGAAAGTATCTTCATAAAATCTCAATTAAAAACACTGCAGCTTATTTAAAAGAATAAAAGTACAGTGCAACCTCCAATTCAGGGGCCTTTTAATTTAGCACCACTTTTTCATGAACCAAATAACAATTTTCAATCTTTCAATGCAAAGCTAAACCTCTAAGTGGTGACCAAAGCTCAAGACCACCCCAAATTTTCAGGTCACAAAGTGGTTCATTGAAATTCAATGATATACAATACTATCAAATGCGAAATTAGTTTTTCCCTGCCTTGCAAAAATCATTAAAGTAATTACCAGTAATGGGTTGATGCACAGAATATTGTAATCATATTATTTATACGTTCATAAATTGATCCAGAGACAGTATATCTTTTGAAATTCTACATATCATCTTCACCATTTTTTTTAATCAGGGTTTTGACTGGGACCAGTGATTTTCTTATGTAGTCCTTCAATTACTTTTATTCGTATTTATTTGTGTTAATATGTTATTATTACTGTATATTTGTTTGTCGCGAAATGTAGAGAAACCTTAAAAAATATCAACAAATATATCATATCCATGTGTTACATTATGTCAAGCTGTTACACCATTGTCTGTGTTAATCATGTCTAGGTGTTATACCATATTCATCATATTCTGATTTTAAATCATGTCCTGATGTTAAATCATGTTTAGGTGTTTCAGTTGTGTTTGTATTACATCATGATCGGGTGTAACAAATGTAACAATTGTACATGGTGTTACACCATGTCCAAGTGCTCAGTGTTTCAATACAGTATGTCCTAGTTTTAAGATTGATACAGTAGCCTTATTTATTCTTTAATAGTAGTAATTCCCAAAATGTACAGCATCCATTTGGAAAAGAAGCCCCCTCATTACTATGCAAAAGTCAGTGGCGTATTTAGGGTGAGGGGGGCTGGCCAGGCCCTGGCTCCCTCTTTTGGGAGGTAAAAAAAAGAAAAAAAAAGAAAGGAAAAGAAAAAAATGATAGCCCAGAACGCCTCAAATGTTATTTTCAGGCGTCTAGAACACAACAATTTCACAGGGGCATGCCCCCAGACCCTGTAGGTCAGTGTTGTCTCAATCGGCCCAACTTTTGGCCCCCCTTTTTTTCCCCCTTTTGGACATCTCTGGATCTGCCCCTGAAAGTAGGCTCGAAAAAAGAAGCCCATCCATAATTTTGTTGGCATTCAATATGCAAGCTTTCCTGCTCAAAAAGCACTTGTCTGGCACTGCAAGCAATATAATATCATTTTCTTCATAAAATTTATTTATAATGCTAAATGTTCTACAAGATATTCTCTTTTTATATAATAGAGGATTGCTCAATTCCTTGTGACAGCCAACATGTTAAGTAGCTAGGTGTTATTTTCCATGTTCTTGCATTTGATGTTACCCATCTACTGTACCCCACTATTAATTAATGTTATCAAGTACATGCTATTCCATTACAATGCAATATTAATATTTTTACAAGGCTATACTACAATGAATGCCATTTGATCTCACCCTTCCCCATAGGCATCGAATGATATACTGTACTACTGCTCTTAACTTTCAATGATATGTAAATGTGTTGCTTGCGAAGTATAACGTATAAATAACAAAAAATTAACTAAATGTAATATATGATATAATTATTATTAATTATTATCTCATTTCCCCCATAGTTATATTTGGATTTTTTTTTAATGTACTGATGTAAAATATATCACTGTAATACTAATTTATATTATCTAATTTCTTTTTCTCATAGTTATTTGGAGTTTTTTGGACATACCGATATCGTAACCAGAAAGACCCTCGTGCAAATCCTAATGCATTCCTGTAAACAAACACTCATCTGAAGTATATGAAGATGAGAGAATAACTCAATCGGAGGGACCTAGTTGAAAACAGCAATTGCCATTTAACACAGTGGTGAATCCTGGGGTGGAGAGTGGTGCCAGATGCCCTAGAAGCAGACAAAAAATCCATTACAAAGTGTGAAATAATTTTAGATAAGTGATTTATATTTGCTAAAACATAAGCCACATGCCATTGAAAATAGATTAGGGAACTCCCAAACCTTCCCCCAGAAAAATGATACTTGATTGCCACTTGTTCCCCTGTCTCTTATACACATCTAGATTAAAAAATGTCCTGGATTCACCACTGTAACATTAACAAATTACCAGTTAAGAAATATTCCATTGATTATAAACCGTTCTGGTGAAATATAAGTTTGATTTATAGTACTCTAGATTGTAAAAATAATACCCTGTAAAAATGGTTTTTCAACCCTAATGTAATACAAAATGTGAAATTCCTAGCTCTGTTTACACTATCAGGTGATGCCTATCTGGATGTCATATGACATCATCATATCACACCCATATTATAGGCAAATAAAAGTTGTGATTTGACACCCCATGGGCAAATCAAGGATGTTTTTCACGGAAGAATTTGATAGATTGGGCAGTGCTTTAGAAAATTTGTCAATAATTTCCTTGTTTTCATTAATCTTCATGAACAATGAGTTGTTTTTGTAAACTACAGTAGAAACTATTGAGTCTGTTTTGATAATCATCAGCAATATTGTAATAAGCCTAAAATATCTAAACGTAATTGCAGTGTATTGCATCATAGGCCTAACCTAGTCCTAATGTCGACTACTGTTGTAGACAGACATATATATGAAGTGGTCTATGTGTTATTAATATTATTTTATTATAATTGTTATTATATTTAATTTTGCTGTATATTATTTTATTGTATTGTTACCATTTGGTGTGGTGATTTAAAAAATATTCTACTTTTGTTTAATTTTAAAAATTTTGGCATTAATTTGTTAATCATATCATTACTTATAAACTTAATAAAAGATGTTTGTTATTATACTTAATAATTTACTTTGTATTGTTTTGTTTACAATACCTTTGTGTCTGTCTGTATAGGGAATTGTGGACACTTACCATTGACAATACACCAGGTTGAATACAAAAAAAAAAATTTTAATGCAGCGGCCCAGTCCCCATTGTTATCCAAGATTTATTAATCTTGGATCTTCTGTTGTTAACCATTGCTCCAGTTTGAGTAGTTCATTCACTTCAGCTTCGCTTGTTGTCTGGAAACATTCTACTCTGTAAATAGCTTTTCACCTAAGTACTCAATTTTTACGTGCCACAAAATCAGGTCGTAAATGTTTTTTTGTTTTTAATAGATTGTTGTTTATTTGGTTATTGAGGCAGCAGGAGTCATAAAAGATAATACTCACAGATACACACTGATATACAGATACTTTATTTTGTTTATATGTCCATATAGAAAATTGGGTAATGAGAGCTATGATGTATGTTACACTTACTGTACAAGTTAACTTGTACGGTGTATGCTACACTTACAAGTGGAGTTGTATGATGTATGCTAATCTTACAAATTAACTTGTATGTTGTATGCTACATTTACAAGTTGAGTTGTATGATGTATGCTACACTTAAAAGTTAAGTTTATGATGTATTTACACTTGCACCTTTGTATTCTAACTATATCTACCCTTTCCTACAAAACCAAGTTATTTTATTTGGAAAAATAAGAAAGTTCTATCACCAGATATTTTAGCTGCATTTTTCATTTTTAATACAAAATAATTATTTTTTTGTGTGTTAAATGGTGATATTGCAATAACCAGAATCCTTGAAAGTAAAAAAAAAAGTGTAATTTTGATGTATATTTGAAATATAATATGAAGAGTTGATTTATTATCACATAAATCATTCAAAATAAAGGGAAAAGTTTAATTGAATGCTTAAAAAACAACGTTGAAATATAAAAAAAATTACATCCAGATTTATTATAAACATTACCAGAATTATAGTTAATTAATGATTGAGATAAGAAAAAAGAAACATTTGTATAAAAAAAACTAGTGAAGTTTATTGTTAAGTGCAAAATGTGAAAATTCATTCCGTCAAATGTTAGGTGTAGAGATAAGTACAATAAAGGGTTTATATATTAGGATAACTTAGCCTGCGTATAAGATAATATGAAATTGTCCATATTATTTTTAATATGGTTGTATGAATGTACCGAAAAATGTTAACTAATATTTATTGTACATGAAAGAAATGTCTTATATTTCATGTTTCCTTTGGGAAAGAAAAATGTTGAGGGAAAAAAGGATATACTTTTGGTGTTGAACTAATCTCAGTGTCAATTGATTCAATATTTGCATTGCTTAATTTGCATATTTAGCAATTATTAGCATTTATTGAATATTAAAATGAGAAAATATTTTATACTAATTAAAATGGCACAATAAGTAATACTGTTCTTCATAGACCCTTTAGATTGGTTGTTCATCAATTTAGTAATGCTACATGTTATTGTCGACTGTTTTTGGTGATGCTGATTGGTCAGATCAATGAGCGTTCTTAAATGCGTTGGTGACAGCTACGTAGTGCCATGCTTGCATTGAAAACACTTTAGCAACAGTGTAGCAATTTTATGGAAACCAGGCCTAATGTGAAAGGTCTATAAATCGGTATACTGTAATTGTTCCTATATGTTCCATTATAAATTCACTTGTATCGAATCCTTTTAAACAATTTAAGTAACATTTTTATGGGTTTTCAGAGTATACCTCAAACAGTATATCTAAAGAAAAAAAATATATTATTAATATTTACACTTTTTTTCATTCTTTTTGTCATTAAAAATGATATTTCATTCCAATCATTATTTGATAAACTGGAAGTTACAAGACTTTTTAGATTTTATCAGATTTTTTACATTTGATACAGAAAAAAAAAATCATTTCATTACATTTTTTTCTTTGAGTTTCGATTGTCATTTTGAAATTTGTTTCAGTACTTATTTTAAAGAATGAAATGAAATTATGTTTGTTAACTTATTGTTAAAAACGAAAAATTTGTAATTTATGATGAGTATATTCTTTTGTGTTAGTATTTAATTAGTATGTGTTGAACTAAAATGTTGGGAAATGTACATGTAAGCTTAAAAAAGCAGATTTTTTATGGATTGTTAGGTATATGTCACTGTTAGCTCAGTGTTCATTCTCAATCTGAGAAACATGAAAATAGTTTTGTCTATAAAAAGGCTACTTTTATGATTTTATTGCATTTTAATTGATGATTTATACTTTTTGCCTATTTACAGACTAGATTTAAATGCTTATTTAGACAATCCATATATTATTTGGAATATATAAGGCAAATTTTCATAATAATCTGGCTAACGGAATTAATTGGTACTAATTTGTACTAAATAATTGTATTATTGTTTACTATTCATTTTTTTTAATTGCCTTTGTGCTCTAGCATTGTGAATTTATTAACATCTCTTGCACTAATGTATGAATACTACTATAAGTTTCCATGACCCAAGTTATACTGAACGCTATCATGCCTACCATAGTAACTATACTACTTGTGTATGTATACCAAGAATCCATGACAAAAGTTAACCATTATAATTTAGGTCATTGATAGCAAGTAAACCAGGAAATTCAGGTTCATGTTACAAGTCACTATGTAATATAATAGTATCTTTGTCTGTTTTCATGGATCATTTAAATAATCCCCGCACAGTACAGTATTTAATGATTTCTGATGAGATGAATGTTGATGAAAAAAATGCAGTGTAATACCCTATTCAGACTAGCATCACATTGCGATCGGTTGTAGGAACTGTGACACCCAATTACAATTCACAATTGTGTGTGAAAGCTTACCAAATTATCCCAATTTTTACCCATTGTGACTTGGTGCTACAATCTATATTACTCCCGATTACCACGGAATCCAATTGCTACAAAATTGCAACAAATTCCACAGGCACTTATTGGTCAGTGAACATAGGTCTTGGTCTTTTTTTTTTGTAGGTTGCCATCCGGAGTAATCATTTATGGATTACCACCGACTACACCGCAATAAAATGTATGAATAGAGTATAAGGGTATAGGATTTGACTATATGTTTCTGCTCAGTCTAATAATTTTGAGGCTAATGGTCAAATTGATAACTGTTCCCTGTTTTCTAAAGTGTGATGTCATCAATTTGTTGTAATGATGACTGGTCATTTTGCTGCTCATGCGCAAAATGATTAAACTTGTTTACAGTACAGTAATGACAATGCAACATGTAGGGCTATGCCCAGCCATGTTGGGAACAGCAATACAATACCTTTATGTTTCTGGCCAATATCCTAGATGAGTAGTTATTTTGCATGCTGTTGGAAAGTAAAAGTGTTCCTGAAAAAATTTCCAAAAGGACAGTTAGCAGAGTGTATGCTTGTATCAAGGCCAATTGACATAAACACAACATAGGTTTATGTTGATTGACATTGCATATGAGCATGCAATTATAATAACTATGAATTGGCTTAGTCATTGAAGTTTAATGGACCTTACACATTTATATGTCTTTTATGTTTCTCTTAATATCAGATACATCCCAGATACACCAATATTTAATAGTGCATGTTACCCTTTGGCACTGTATTTTAATATTGTTTGCCATTTGTTACATTTCTCTTCATAATAGTGGTAGAGGTATCAGCTGTAAATTGTTCATGTTTAAATAAATTACTATTGCTTTAAATTAAAAATTAACTGTAAAATCTTACAAGTGTGTATGTGTTTTACAAGTTTGTATGTTGTGGTGATAGATTAAAACATGGATAAATATATTAATACTGTATATTTCCTCCACGTTTAGGGAACGAGCCCAGTAAAATGAACATTTAATATGAAACCATTAGGCAATACTTTCAAATTTATTAATATCTTTATTTCTTTCTTTCCCTGTTAACATGCATTTTCTAACTGAATTTATCAGTCAGATTCTTCCTCATCATGTGGTATGACAACTACTGTACTCTGTACAATAGATAAAGAACCACACGATAGTATTTAAGGTTCTTTCTTGTGATAATACTAACAACCAATTAATTTGAAGATACTGTACACTTACAAATTCCAGTTAACACAAGTCTAAAATCCAAACAATAAGAAATACAGATGTTCACATTAGTTAATTATTTATACAAAAGGAAAACGCATAATTTTTGAATGTGTATAACATATGTAGTAAGTATACACGTTTACTTAATACATGTTGGTTCACATTCAAGATCATAGCCACAATTTCACAACAAAATGACAAGGATAGGGCTAAAAAAAAAAAATAAAATATGTACTGCATTCTGAATATACAATAACATTTGTTTTAATTTCCAATATATGATGCAATTTTGAAAAGCATTGTGGGAAGGGATGATACAATTACTGATTCTTGTTTTACTATTTATGAAAAAGATTTAAAGTATTACTATTTATGAAAAAGATTTAAAATATTAAAGTCTTCAATCTCAAATATAGCTGTTATGTATATGTAAAGTGATTAACAGATATGGTATTTTAGCACCAAAGAAATTTGAGGAATTGATAAAATTAACAACAATAGAGGTTTTAGCAATCATAAAGATGAGACTGGAACACTGAATTTACTGCACTTACCATTGAATTTGACCACCCACTAGCTTTATAGCATGCTTACCTAGTACAGTATAATTGTCAATGTAAAATATTTAATGCTCTGTGACCAATATCTGAGATCTGCTCATATATACATATATATATATACATATACATATATACACACATACATATATACATATACATACATACATATATATATACACATACATATATATATATACATACATATATATATACACATACATATATATATACACATACATATATATATACACATACATATATATATATACACATATATATAAATATGCACATATATATACACATATATATACACATATATATAAATATATATATGTGTGTATATATATATATATATACACATATATATATATATATATATATATAGAGGCATAATGTCAAATCACAGCCAGGCCCATGTATGAGGCTTGGCATCCCAAAACCAGCATTAGTTAGCAAAAATTTACTTTTTAATATATCCCTATTCTCCACATTGTTAGTTTAAAAATGAGTCATGTACTGGAATCAACTTAACTATTGCCTAAGTGACGAGTAAAAGAATTACGGGTTCTCTGTACGAACTATACAATACTTCCACATTCTAATATGCTGATTACTCAGTTTAAAATTCACCAATAGTACACTGGTATTTGGATGGCAGGCCTCTTACATGGACATGACGATGTCAAATCAAACCCACATATGGGCAAATCACATATATTTGTCACATGATCACTGATAGTGCAGACAGAGATTTAGCCTAGTATCAAACAAGATAATTATCATCAATGACTTTGGCATTGAACCCGTCTTCCGCCCATCTCGTCGTCTTCATTGTATACATGATTGTGGCTTGATTTCTGACGGTAAGTTGTAGGATCAAAGGAAACTAAATCTACTTCTTCAGCATTATCATCTTGGATGGGCTCTTCACGCCCTGGCAGCAAATTCTCCAACTGTTTCAATTTTTCTGGAGTCAAAAATCCATCGTTTGGGAAGTTCACTTGGAACTTGATGATAAGACGACCCTTCTCATACGGGTTTTTGTAGAATGGCATTCCCTCATTGAGAATACACTTCAGTTCATCATGTTTGACAACGTCACCTACGTAACAAAAGATAAATATTGCAAAAATTTGTTAGACACATGATATTCTTTGCATTAAAAGAAATCTGAAATTCAATTTTGGGAAAATATTTTGCCCCTATGGCAAGGCTTGGACCTATCTTGCTGCGTTTACTATGTAGCATAGACTTCGGCCTACTCCCATCACTGAGATGTTACAGTATGAAAATTTCGACTCCTAATTACTAATTTTCTCAATTATGAACTCTTCGGACGGCAGAGTACATAATAGACCGATTTGATGATGGGCATCACATGACCTCGGGTGTTGGATGGTAACAATAGACTGGCACAGCGGTGTTTACATGGAGATTGCTACTGCGGCCATCCTTTGTTATTGCTATAAAGATCATCATATTTCCCAGCAAACTATACCAAATTGATTGGAAATTGAAATTAAGAATTTTGCCTTAAGGGTTTGCTAATGCTCCAAAAAGATAATGGCACTGGCAGCAAACATTTGAGATTTTTCGACACGTTAGGCCTAGGCCCCTGCACATATCTACGGCCTGTTTAGGTATGCACATGAGTCTTTAACCCGCGAACTATGCTATGATTTTAGGGCTTGGTAACGTTTACGAATGATCACTTAAATTTCAAAGCATAGGAGAACACAAGGTAAGTAAGTGTAAACACTATTCTGAACAATTGTATTGACATTCCTTGCATTCATTTCTCACTTCAACAGTGGGGGTTGTTCTTGCGACCATAACATTAGCTTTTCCTATACTTTCACACTGATCGCACTGTAATGTTTTCCATGGTATACTAAGTTATGTCATGTGACCTGCTATAAACAAACATAGCCAAATCAGTCTTTTGGGAGATTTTACTCTATAAGTAAACACAAAAACAAACCTGCATGTGAATTAATCAGTAGTTCTCTATTGTCCAGTGTCTTTATTACTTTCTGGAATCCACAAAGTGCTTCCACTAAGTTAATTTCCATTTTAAGTATAAGGTCATTGGCCTGTCTCTTATACACTGAATGCTCTTTTTCATCCAAAATAATGATAATATCCCCAGGCTCTAAACCAGGCTCTTGGTCACCTTCTCCTCGGAAGAATATCTTCTGCCCGTCTTTCATACCTGAAAATAATCATAACAATAATGAATTGTAGGGCTATAGCTTGGCGGTGAAGACATGAAGATGCCTTCCAATCAATAAGTATTTAAAGTTCTGTGGTGGCTCTAGGGTAATGGGGCTGGGGGGGGGGCGTGCAATGCTGCTTGTCTGTGTCAAGACAGAGGCCAGCATGGTCACCATGCCCAGTCAGGGGATAGATCACCCGGTACTCACAAAAACATTTTTGGGCAAATTTTAAGCAATTCTGAAACATCTTAAGAGTGTATCACGGTATGTCCAATTAATTAAAAAAAAAAATAAAAAAATTTTCTGTCCAATAATTTCTTGCCAAAGGTGGGATTTGGTCTGTCCAATGGTGAGGGAGGGGGGCTTAAACTTCCTACATACACCAACACTGACAATCACTGGGTTTAATTTCTAAAACAATTCCAGAATTTTTTGTTGCACCTAAAATCAGTTTAACTCCAAAGGTATCATACGAGACCATAGTAGGTATATAAAGCATTCTGAAGAAAAACAGTAACTAGTCTTCCTACTTCACTCCGTTTTAAATATAAAAAAGAATAAAAATAATCATAAAAATATTATAAATAACATTAAAGTTGAAAAATATATATAAATACATTTATTATATTTTACCTTTATCTACATGTACCTCCAGGATCTTCCTCTCCCTGACAATTTTTTTGCCATTGCACGTTCTGCAGCGATCCTTTTCGTTAATACGTTCCCCTTCACCATGGCAGCTCCGACACACCGACTGTATCTGCTGAACCATGCCGGGCCCCAATTGATGGACTTGAACTTGTACACCTGAACCCCGACATGTCGGGCACTTCTCCACAGCACCTTTCTTACCACCTTTACCTGATGCAGGAAAGAATTGTAATGACCATAAGTAACACCGTAAAACCTCCAATTGAAGCCCTAGGCTTCTTTTTTTTTTTGCGAACTTTAGATAGGCCTTTTTTTAGATGGGCTTCTTTTCGAGATGGTCTTTTTTTCAAGGCTACTTTTGCAAAGTAAAGTTGGGGGGGGGGCGCTTCTTTTCAAAATGAATGCTGTAAATTTTGTGAATTTGTCCTATAAAACAATAAATACGGCCACTGTAACATCAATCTGTATCATGGAGTGTATTTAACTGACATTAAATCACTAAACTACTGTAAAAACCAAGTTTGTTTTTAATTTATTTTGTTTTTTGAAATTCATATACAGTGTATACAGTTAAACTTACCTAAGTCGACTGTCCTAAGTCGAATAATTTCAAAGTCGATCTTATTTTACATGCCAAATTGTTGTGTTTTCCATTAATTAACAATCTGTAAGTCAAATTTTGTCCAAGTCGAATAATATTTCAATGGCATTTTGGATTCGACTTAGGCAAGTCCAACTGTATACTGTACTATCTCGAAAATTAGCTTATACTATCTTGAAAAGAAGCCCATGGGCTTGTTTTCGAAATGTGTTTCTTTTCTAGGCTAATTTTACAAATTAAAGAGGGGCTTCAATTTGAGATGGGCTTCATCTCGAGATTAAGCCCACTGGGCTTTAATTCAAGGTTTTATGGTAGGTAAATTGTTTGAAGTATCCTATGCTAATTACAGGATGAAACAATGCTTTTATAAAGTCTCTTTATAAGGCCTTAAGAAGTGGGGTTCCTTTTAGTCATTACAATGAGTCTTGCCGTCATCACAGAAATTGAACTTAGGGGCCTGGGATTAGAAGGCAATCATTTTAACCACTACAAGTTAACTTAACTTTAGTTTAACTTTATTATAATTAAAAGCTATACAAATCCACTCTGTTTACAGTAATTATTTTTAACAGATATTTATCACTCTTAGTATAGAATTTCCAAATATTTCAATTTCTTAGTTCAAAATGTCACTGCTCAAACACAACTTACTGTACCAATTTTTCCAGCATATTATTAGAAGGCAATCATTTTAACCACTACAAGCTAACTTAACTTAGTTAACTTTATTATTATTAAAAGCTATACAAATCCACTCTGTTTACAGTAATTATTTTTAACAGATATTTATCACTCTTAGTATTGAATTTCCAAATATTTCAATTTCTTAGTTCAAAATGTCAATGCTCGAACACAATTTTTCCAGCATATTTTGTAATGACAAGCCAATTAAAACAAAGATTATGAACATTACAAAGATGTATAAATAATAAAAGGCACATGTTTTTGACTCAAAATCTGCATTCCTGATGATGACATAACTAATGTCGAAATATTGAATCTCAACACGATGGTGTGCATTTCGATACTTCGAGTATGTATTTTACTATCAAATCTGCATAAATATTTCAATAAGATAAAATTGTTAGCCATGGAAATTATTTTTCAGTAGTTATGCATATTTATAAGAAACTGTTATAAATCATGCAAAAGGTAAAGAAAGGGAAATAAACTTGCCTTCACATTTCTCACACACAACATTTTTTTGTAAAGCTAATTTCCTGACAGAGGCATTATACATTTCCTCAAGCGAAACACTAAGTTGATGTATCACATCTTTCCCCTTGCGTTCCCGTCGACCGCCACTTCCGCCTCCACCACCAAAGAACATGTCAAATATATCCATAGGTGACGAGAAATGACTTTCGCCTCCACCACCTTCTTTTATGGCCTGGTCACCGCCTCTGTCATATATTTCTCGCTTCTTAGAATCTGATAAAACTTCATAGGCTTGCGAAATTAGTTTAAACTGCAAAAAAAATAACAGAAAATTGTGGTTGCAGAGGCATTGCTTCAGTTTTTAGTATACGTTACAATTCAAACCCTACATCTGGGATTATCAAATGAGAATTGCTTTCATTTAGATCAAGCCAGCATATTGTTTTACAAAATGATGAACAAGGTACACAAAGCAAACTACATATTGTAGTCCGTGTCATATGTAAAGGCACACATCCAAAAAAGCTTGTTCCCCCAGTGGCCAAAATAATTGCGCTCAATTACTAAAATATCACCTATTACTGTAATTTGTGAGCTACCAACCCCCCACTTTAACCCT